CCTGTAGCTCTATTTTCTCTCTACCTTCTTCCCTATTGTGCCGCTACCCAATCCCAAGTAGTGACGAATTTCTTCTCTAAGTTCACCGCTATCGGCAATTGCCCCTTATTCTTCTCTCTCTCTGCGCCGTTGCATATCCACTGCCAATGACAGCTTGTAGCTGCCTAGCCATCACCTACTTCAAGTATCCTTCTCAATCATCTCCTCCCTCTCTCACACATCTCTCTATCCATCTCTCCCTCTCTTTATACGCTTATGATCATCTACCCCTGACTCTATTTTCTCTCTACCTTCTTCCCTATTGTGCCAATGCCCAATGCCCAATGCCCAACAGTGACTCATTTGTTTTCTTAGTTCACCGCCAGCGACAACCGTCCCTTATCCCTTCTCCCTCTATGTCGTTGCACATTCATTGCCAACGACAACTAGTAGATGCTCAGCCACCGCCTATTTCAAGAATCCTTCTCAATTATCTCCTCTCTCTCTCATGCATCTGCTTTCTCTTTGTCCCACATCTCTTCTCCCTTAATCATCTACTTCTCACTTCTTCTCCACAACCATAACCCTACTCGATAGACCCTTTTTGTTCTTCCCAACTCCTGTGTACCACCTGTTTGATAAATTGTCAAACCTATACTTTTTTTTGTTTCAAAAACTTGCGTCAGCCCTTTGCTTATGGACGGTGGGGTCATTTTTTATGCTTTTTAATCTCTTATTCTTTGATAAAATGCACCAAGTGGACATTTGTGTTAGTTGATCTTAAGATTGATTTATCCAATTTAGTTATTTTCGGATTTAGAATTAACCTTGGTCCAAGTTGTGTTTGCGTAATCTGGTATTGTTGACTTCATTTATGGTCATCGAAACTAAGTTCTTCATGTATGCTTTAAATTGATTTTATTATTTTGTTTTTATTGTTGACTTCATCTATGCACTATGGATATCTTTGCTTCTTCAACATAGATATCCTTGGCTAATATACATTTATATGAGATCCTAGCCTCCATCACAACAATGCTAGTTGTTTTTGTGCTGCTTTGTGGTCCTTTGTCATTCTCGTGTGCCTTTTTCAAGTGCTACTGTGAACTCAATCTCTATATTATATTCTCTTTATTGATTGTTTTGATATTTGTGAAATCAATCATTAATGTATTTGACGGATTGTTGGGCTTGATATAATACCTACCTTTAATGTGTAACTAAATCCATAGTGCTACTGCAACTGCTTTTATATAACGTTAACATAATGCTAATGCTTTTATACAATGTTACATTCTGATTTTATAGTGTTAACATAGTGCTACTGCATCTATTATATTGGATCCGACCTTCAGTATGTGACATAGTATGCTTTTATTGTGGATTGCTTCGCAATGGCTTTTCGTTTCTTCTCAACATTTTGGACCATGACCAGTTAATATCTTACGTTTTTTCTACAATCTATGATATTGTAGAGGATTCCCTCTACAAATGTGTAATTGTAACTCATGATGAAACCATTACTAAATGGCTTGATCCAGAAGTTGTAGTTGTTAGTAAAGAAGCTTTGGCAAATTGTGTACTCATGTTTGTTTAACTGGTAACCTTCATTTTCATGCTTTGACGAGTTGTGTATTACTGACTGCTCGTCATTGGAGTAATTTCGTTCCTATTTTAAGTTTTGTACCCCCAAATTTTTTGGAATATCTGGATGTAGTTTTTGTTGATGCTTTTGTACTGATGTATCCATGCTGTAGACTTGTGGATAAGATCCATAGTTCAATTGGTCAAGACCCAAACTCAAAATACTTAATTGGGGTGTTGGATATATATGGATTTGAGAATTTCAAGATAAATAGGTGAATTTACTTCAAATGGTTGCAGTTATTGAAATGCTGAATATCAACTTTTAATTCATTTTTTCTGTTATTTTATGCTTTGTAGGAAATTTTAACAAGTGGAAATTCGTCCGACAACATTTTGTCAAATCATTTCCATCAAATTATTCCAAATATTTTTGTTGGTTAAGAAACAAATATGCAGAGATGGAAGATTTACTGAATTTGGTCTTTTCTTTCTTTTGTTAAATTTCTGTTATTGGTGGTTCCGTGGTTGTTAACACTTTTTTGTATTTATCCAAAAGATGGTGAAGCACCTCCAAGTGGAGTGGATGATAGGACAAAGCTGGCTTATTTACATAAGCCAGGAGTTTTGCATAATTTAAATTCGAGGTATGATGTCAATGAAATATATGTAAGTGTTTCAACATTTTCCTATTTAAATAAAACATGTTAAATCTAATCAACTCGATATTATTTCCAGACTTGCACAAGAAATATATTAATTGTTGTGAATCCTTTTACAAAATTGCCTTGTTTATACGATAGTCATGATGACACAGTACAAAGGGGCAGCCTTTGGTGAACTGAGTCCCCAGTCCCACCCTTTTGTTTTTGTAGATGCTGCATATAGGTATGTTGTCACGATCACGAGTTTATAATTTCGTTGTCTTCCCTTTGCGTTACGATGATTATGGCCACTTATGTGGATGCAGAGTTATGATCAATTAGGGAATCAGTTAGTCAATTTTGGTTAGTGGCGAGAGTGGGGCAGGTGAAACGGAAAGCACAAAATTGTTCATGCGGTATCTTGCTTACTTGGGAGGCAGAGTTGCATCTGAGGGGAGGACTGTCAAGCAGTAAGTCTTGGAGGTCAGCCTTGCATTTCACCGAGCTTAGATGAGGGATTGTCCAACAAGCTTAGACAAGGGACTGATTCATTTTGAGGCCATATTTTAGATCGTTCACTACATAATTTAGTTCTTTAATTGTGTACAATATGTGTTTTGGCCTTGTTTTACTTTGTTTTGCAGTCAAATCCGGTTCTAGAAGCATTCGGTAATGCAAATACAGTCAGAAACAATGTAAATGCAGTCAGAAACAACTCCAGTGGTAACATTTTGCATTTACAGTGTAACTTCTGTATATGTCTCAAAGTTTCTCTAATATTGTCTGGTTGAATAGTTTCCTTCTATCTCTTCATGTTATGTACGTTGCAGTCATTTCGGTAAACTTGTGGAGATTGAATTTGATTGGAGAGGAAGGAGTTTAGGAGCTATTATCAAAATTTACCCACTGAAGAGGTCTCGTGTTTGTCAAGTGCCTGATCCTAAAAGGTACTAACATTTCTTCTACATGTTTTGCTCCGCACCACCTGAGGTACCAAGTCTCTATTTAGTTAACCAAGATTTGCTTTATAGTAAAGAATAAATATGTGCTTGTAGAGCATTTCATTTTTTATGGAGTTGTTTTTTTATCTTAACATTGAATTTTCATCCTTGGATATCACATGATACGTGACAAAGTGGTGCCCAAAAAAATTTATGTAGCCAAACCCAGTGTTGTGCAGCAAATGCTTTCCGTTACTACTAATTTATATAATAAAGTAGAGCTATTTTTGAATCAAAAGACAAAAAGGACTCAATTCGTTTCAAGATAAAATAATGGGTCATTCGATGGGCTACGTTACCAAGCATAAGAAGTGGTTCAGATCATCTCAAAATTACTAATTCAATGAGCAAAAATGAGTCTAGAAAAATTTGTTCCCGCCTAAAACTTTCCATTTTGTTACCCTTCATTAGGCCTTCAATCACTTCCCAAGGCTTCACCAAAATCTACGCTGTGTCTACCCTTTATCTCCTTTCTTAATCGAGTTTTCTTACACTCAATTTCTATCTCGCATGTCTCTCTCAAATGATCTCCCCCTCTCCCCTAAATATGTTTTCCAAACTAAGACCTATGGTTGTGTGCTAAAATTCTATCTCCCTCTCTCACGTTCACTTTATCTATGCGCCTATGATCATCTCCCCCTATCTCTATTTTCTTTCTACCTTCTTCATTATTGCGCCACTGTCCAATCCCCAGCAATTAAGCCTTCAACAACAAGCTGTGATGTAACTCTTCACTCAGCTCACCGCCAGTGACGACCACCCTTTATCCCCTCTCTCTCTCTCGCTGCACATACATTGCCAACAGTAGCCGGCAGTTACCTAGCCACTGCCTATTTTGGGTATCCTTCTCAATCATCTCCTTTTTCTCTCTTTCTCATGCATCTCCTCTTCTACCATCTCTCTATGCTCTCATGTTCATCTCCCCTTACCTCTATTTTCTTTCTACCTTCTTCTCTATTGTGCCACTGCCCAATCACCAGTAGTGACACATCTTTTCTCTTGGTTCACCACCCGTGACAACCGCCTCTTATTCTTCTCTCTTTGTGCCCCTGCATATCCATTGCCAACGACAACCTGCAGCTACTGAGCCACTACCTATTTTAGGTATCGTTCTCAATTATCTCTTCTTTCTCTCACGCACCTCTTCTCTGTCCATCTCTCTCTATGCGCTTATGATCATCTCCCTTAACTCTATTTTCTCTTTACCTTTTTCCCAACTATGCCACTGCCCAATCCCTAGATGTGACACATCCCTTCTTTTGGTTCACTGCCGGGGATAACTACTCCTTATCTCCTCTCTCTCTGTGCCGCTGCGCACATCCATTGCCAATGATAGCGAGTAGCTACTCATCCACCGCCTATTTCGGGTATCCTTCTCAATCATTTCTCTCTCTCACGCATCTTCTCTCCATCCATCTCTCTCTCTCTATGCGCTTATGATCATCTGCCGAACTCTATTTTCTCTCCACCTTCTTCCTTATTGTGTTGCTGCCCAATCCCCAGAAGTGATGCATCTCTTCTCTCGGTTCACCGCGAGTGACAACTGCCCCTTGTCTCCTCTCTCTCTATGCCGCTGCACATCCATTGCTGACAACAACGAGCAGCTACCCAGCCACCTCCTGTTTCGGTTATCCTTCTTAATCATCTCCTCTTTCTCTCTCTTATGCATCTCCTCTTTCTCTCATGCATTTCCACTTCGTCCATCTCTTTCTCTCTATGTGCTCATGTACATCTCCCCCTACCACTATTTTCTCTCTACCTTTTCTATTGCGCCGTTGCCCAATCCCCGGTAATGACAAATCTTTTCTTTCAGCTCACCGCCAGCGACAAACGTTCCTTATTCTTCTCTCTCTGCACCACTGCATATCCATTGCCAATGACAGTCAGGAGGTGCCCAACTATTGCCTATTTCAAAGTTCCTTTAGCCCTTTGCTTGTGGATAGTGGGCTCATTTTTTTTTGCTTTTTAATCTCTTTTGCTTGATAAAATGCACCAAATGGATATTTGTGTTAGTTGATGTTAAGATTGGTTTATCCGATTTAGTTATTTTAGGATTTAGAATTGACTCAGGTTCAAGTTGTGTTTGCGAAATCCGGTATAGTTGACTTCATTTATGGTCATCGAAACTAAGTTCTTTATGTATGCTTTTAATTGATTTTATTATTTTTGTTTTTTTTGTTGACTTCATCTATGCACCATGGATATCTTTGCTTCTTCAACATGGATATCCTTTTCTAACATATATTTATATGTGACTCTAGCCTCCATCGCTACAATGCTAACTGTTTCTGTGCAGCTTTGTGGTCCTTTTTCCTTCCCATGTACCTTTGTCAGGTGCTACTGTGAACTCAATCTCTAAATTATATTCTCTTTGTTGATTGTTGACATTAGTGAACTCGATCATTAATGTATTTGTCGGACTGTTGGGCTTGATATCATACTTACCTTTATTGTGTAACTAAATCCATAGTGCTACTGCAATTGCTTTTATATAATGTTTACATAGTGCTACTGCATCTTTTATATGGATCCGACCTTCAATATGTAACATAGTATGCTTTTATTGTGGATTGTTTCGCAATGGCTTTTCGTTTCTTCCCAAACATTTTGGACCGTGACCAGTTAAGATGTTACGCTTTTTTCTACAATCTATTATATTGTGCAGCGCATATGTAAAATGGGTTATGATATGGATACATCTTTTGAGTATTTAATTTAATTTGTTTATTAGTGTGTAGGTTGTGGTAATTCTGGAGCCGGGTGGTGTTGCCATTGGTGGTTTTCTACCACTTGTATCCATTTATTGGAGTAAAAACATTAGAGTTGAGGATGAGTTATACGGGAATTTTTTGAGTTTTCCTGTCGTCCCTCAAAAAAACATTTTTAGCTTTTGAAATGCAGAGGTACTGATCAAATTGCACAGGTATCTTTTGAACTGCTTTATTCCACATATATGAGTTTGTTCCAATATGTGCATTTATCTATAGCCCGGATTCTAGGGTAAGAAAAGTAGGAAAAAAAGCATAGTTCTTTTCATTATGTCGAACTTTTGGTTAGCTGTGAGTATTGTATTGAACTTACGGACATGTGATTTTTTTTTCTTAAGTTATTGAAAAAATTAGTTGTACAAAGCATTTCAAGAAATTTTTGTAGGAGAGATGTAGTTTTGGAAAGTAGAGAATTCGTGACTTTTGGAGCTTATTTGACACCATGTGGGTTCTCCCTTTTTTTTTATAGAAGGGTATGGCTATGATCATGACATGACAATTGAGAGGAGGCCTTCTGCCTTCATCATGCTTCGGGATCAAGTGGGGACCACAATGAGCGGCATGTTTTATTGTGTATGTTTTTTGATTGAATCAAGTTTGGAATATTTGAGATACCTTTAAATACATTAAAACTATGTTTATAATACATTGTTATACTATATTGCTCATCTTTGTTTGGCCATACTTTTAGCTAGAATGTTTCACATTTTTTTTGGATATGTTTTGTGAAATCAGTTGACTAATAATTGCTAATATTTTGCGGAATATCAACTAGGTTGTAATTAAATTGAGACACATTTTAATTTTAGAGGAGTTTATTGTATATTTAGTTTATTTCATGGATTTTTTTATACATTTTTGTTTATTAGTCTATTTAACGGTGGTTATTTTTTGTTCAATTTCTTAAGAAAACACCATCGATTCCTCTAAAATTAAGTTCCTTGCAGTAATTATTCCATCATTCAAGTTAACTTGTTGGTTGGGTTCCAAAGGTGTGGTAGGCTTACATGTGTGCAAGTGGGAATTGAAGTTCAATTTTGATCATTTTGTTGGGAGATCATTTCAATTTCAGTCAAATCTTATATTATTTTTCATGCTACCAGGATCTTCAAAAGTACAAATTAGCAAATCCAATAACATTTCATGATTTGAATCAATTAAATTGCTACGAATTAGATGGCATTGATGATTCTAAAGAGTCCGTTGCTACAAGGTGGGCAATGGATGTTGTTGGAATTAGTACCAAGGAACAGGTTTTGTTTGGAGTTGGTTAATATGGGAAACATGATTCTTCCACTTTATATCTATCCATTAATGCCTTCTTATTGATTTTCTTCCTTCCTCAAGATGTGTTTTTTCGAGTTGTGGCTGCGATTCTCCATCTTGGAAATATCAAATTTGTGAAGGAAAAGACAATCGACTCGTGTGTGGCCAAATGAAAAATCTTTGTTTCATCTTAGAACTGCTGTGGAGCTGTTCGTGTAAATAATCAATTTCATTGGCACCGGGCCACAAGCACACACAAATGAAGTAAATAAATTTTCAAATATCTTGACTTAATTTTCACTACGGGAGAACAAAATGCAATTTCAACCAAGTGCAACCTTTGAATTGTTTGGTATTGTTCAGGTGTGACATAAAGTCTTTAGGGAATTCCCTCTTCAAATGTATAATTGTAACTCATGATGAAACCATTACCAAATGGCTTGATCCAGAAGCTGCAGTTGCCGGTAGAGATGCTTTGGCAAATTGTGTACTCATGTTTGCTTGATTGGTAACCATTACTTGTCATTGGAGTAATTTATTCCTATTTTAAGTTTTGTACCCCAAAATTTTTTGGAATATCTAGATGTAGTTTTTGCTAATGCCTTTGTATTGATAGATCGATGTTGTAGGCTTGTGGATAAGATCCATAGTTCAATTGGTCAAGACCCAGACTCAAAATACTTAATTAGGGTGCTGGATATAGATAGATAAATTCGTGAATCTACTTCAAATGATTGCTGCTATTGAAATGCTGAATATCAACTTTTAATTCATTTTTTCTGTTATTTTATGCTTTGTAGGGAATTTTGTCTAGTGGAAATTCGTCCAACAACTTTTTGTCAAATCATTTCCATCAAATTATTCTAGGTATTTTTGTTGGTTAAGAAACAAATATGCAGAGATGAAAGATTCACTGAATTTGATCCTTTCTTTCTTTTGTTAAATTTCTGTTACAGGTTGTTGTTAACACTTTTTGTATTTATCCAAAAGATGGTGAAGCACCACCAAGTGGAGTGGATGATAGGACAAAGCTGGCTTATTTTCTTAAGCTAGGAGTTCTGCATAATTTAAATTCGAGATATGATGTCAATGAAATATATGTAAGTATTTTCCACACTTCATTTGATTTTGAAAGCATCTGTTTCAACATTTTCCTATTTAAATAAAATGTGTTGGAGCTAATCAACTTGATATTGTTTCCAGACTTACACAAGAAACATATTAATTGTTGTGAATCCTTTCAGAAAATTGCCTGATTTATATGATAGGCATATGATGGCGCAGTACAAAGCGGCAGCCTTTGGTGAACTAAGCCCCTTGTCCCACCCTTTTGCTTTTGCGGATGTAGCATATAGGTATGTTGTCACAATCATGAGTTTATAATTTCATTGTCTTCCCTTTGCATTACGATGATCAATGCCACTTCTGTGGATGCAGTGTTATGATCAATTAGGGAATCAGTTAGTCAATTTTGCTTAGTGGCGAGAGTGAAGCGGGTGAAACGGAAAGCACAAAATTGCTCATGCAGTATCTTGCTTACTTGGGAGGCAGAGCTGCATCTGAGGGGAGGACTGTCGAGCAACAAGTCCTGGAGGTAAGCCTTGCATTTCAGCATGTCCAACAAGCTTAGACGAGGGACTGATTCATTCTGAGGCCAGATTTTAGATCTTTCACCACATAATTTAGTTCTTTAATTGTGTACAATATGTGTTTTGGCCTTATTTTCATTTATTTTGCAGTCAAATCCGGTTCTAGAAGCATTCAGTAATGCAAATACAGTCAGAAACAACAACTCCTGGTGGGAACATTTGCATTTACGGTGTAACTTCTGTATATGTTTCAAAGTTTCTCTAATACTATTTGGTTAAATTGTTTCCTTCTATCTCTTCATGTTATGTACGTTGCAGTCATTTCAGTAAGCTTGTGGAGATTGAATTTGACCGAAGAGGAAGGAGTTCAGGAGCTGTTATCAGAACTTATCGACCGGAAAGGTCTCGTGTTTGTCAAGTGTCCGATCCTAAGAGGTACTATAATTGTTTTGGCATGCTTTGCTCCTCACCACCCGAGGTAACAAGTCTCTATTTAGTTGACCAAGATTTGCTTTATAGTAAAGAATAAATACTTGTTTGTAGCGCATTTCATTTTTTAGGAAGTTGTTTTTTTATCTTAACATAGAATTTTCATCACTGGATATCACATGATACACAGCAAAGTGGTGCCCCAAAAATATATGTAGCCAATCCCAGTGTTGAGCAGTAAATGCTTTTCGTTACTACTAATCTATATAATAAAATAGAGCTGATTTTGAATCAAAATACAAAAAATGGAGCAGATCGTTTCAAGATAAAATAAAGGGTCATTTGACGGGCTATTGACTGGCTACGTTACCCCAACATAAAAAGTGGTTTAGATCATATCAAAATTACTAATCTAATGAGCCAGAATGAGTCTAGAAATATTTTTTCCCATCTAAACTTTCCATTTTGTCACCGAGGCTCCACCAAAATCTATTATGTGTCTTCCCTTTATCTCCTTTCTTAATCGAGCTTTCTTACACTCAATTTTTATCTCGCATGTCTCTCTCAAATCATCTCCCTCTCTTCCCTAAATATGTTCTCCAAACTATGACCTATGGTTGTGCCCTAAAATTCTCTCTCCATTTCTCACGTTCACTTTTTCTATGCGCCCACAATCATCTCCCCCTATCGCTATTTCTCTCTAACTTCTTCACTATTGCGCTATTGCCCAATCCCCAGTAGTTAATCCTTCAATAACAAGCAGTGACGAATCTTTTCTCTTAGTTTACCTCTAGTGATAACCGCTCCTTATCTCCTCTCTCTCTGTGCCGCTGCATATCCGCTGCCAATGTAAGCGAGCAGCTACCTAGCCACTACCTATTCCGGGTGTCTTTCTCAATCATCTCCTCTTTCTCTTTCTTTCTTTCTCTCTTTCTCATGTATCTCCTCGTTCATCTCTCTCTATCTATGCGCTCATACTCATCTCCCCATAGCTCTATTTTCTCACTACCTTCTTCCCTATTGCGCAGCTCTCCGATCCCCAGTAGTGATGCATCTCTTCTCTCGGTTCACTGTCAGCGACAACCGCCCCTTATTCTTCTTTCTCTACACTACTTCATATCCACTGCCTAGCCACTTCCTATTTCAGGTATCCTTCTCAATCATCTCCTCTCTCTCACGCATCTTGTCTTTGTCCATCTCTCCCTCTATTTATGCGCTTATGATCATCTACCTTCTTTCCTATGGCGCTACTGCCCAATGCCCAGTACTGACGCGTCTGTTCTCTCAGTTCACCGCCAGTGACAACCGCCCATTACACCTCTCTTTCTGTGCCGTTGCACATTCATTGCCAACGACAGCCAGTAGCTGCCCAGCCACAGGCTATTTCAGGTATCCTTCTCAATCATCTCTCATTTCTCTCTCACGCATCTCCTTTCTTTTTGTCACGCATCTCTTTTCCCTCAATCATCTCATTTTCTCACTCTCTCTCCACAATCATAACCCCACTCAACAGCCCATTCCTGTTCTTCCTAGGTCATGTGTACCACCGGTTCGATAAATTTTCAAACCGATATTTTTTTTTGTTTCAAAAAGTTCCTTCGGCCCTTTGCTTATGGACGATGGGCTCATTTTTTATGCTTTTTAATATCTTTTGCATGATAAAATGAATCAAGTGGATATTTGTGTTGGCTGATCTTAAGATTAGTTTATCCGATTTAGTTAATTTAGATTTAGAATTGACTTGGGTCCAAGTTGTGTTTGCAAAATCCGGTATTGTTGACTTCATTATGGTCATCGAAACTAAGTTCTTCATGTATGCTTTAAATTGATTTTATTGTTTTGTTTTTATTGTTGACTTCATCTATGCACCATGGATATCTTTGTTTCTTCAACATGGATATCCTTTTCTAACATACATTTATATGTGATTCTAGCCTTCATTGCAACAATGCTAACTGTTTCTGTGCAGCTTTGTGGTCCTTTGTCCTCGTGTACCTTTTTCAGGTGCTACTGTGAACTCAATCTCTCTATATTATATTCTCTTTATTGATTGTTTTGATATTTGTGAACTCCATCATTAATGTATTTGACAGACTGTTGGGCTTGATATAATACCTACCTTTAACGTGTAACTAAATCCATAGTGCTATTGTGACTGCTTTTATATAATGTTAACATAGTGCTACTAATTTTATATGATGTTAACAAAGTGCTACTGCTTTTATATAATGTTACATACTGATTTTATAGTGTTAAGATAGTGCTACTTCGTCTATTATATTGGATCCGACCTTCAGATCACTTGAACAAAACCTTCAGCTACTTCATCAATTTGTGAGGAGCATTGTGGGTCCTAATGTTTGTGAGAATGTAACAGACATTTTCCAGAACAGATGCCCAGAACAATTGAACAAAACCTGGATTGCTCTTATCCCCAAGATTGAGAGTCCAATGTTAATTTCTCAGTTTAGACCCATTAGTCTGTGCAATGTCAGCTACAAGATTGTGACTAAACTTTTAGTAACCAGGCTGAGACCCAAGCTGGATAAGCCGGTTGGTCCTTATTAAAGCAGCTTTATCCCAGGTAGCAGACGATTGACAACATAATCATTACACAGGAAATTGCACATTGTTTAAGAAAGAAGAAGGGTAAAGTGGGAAGCCTGATTCTTAAAATTGATCTTCAAAAAGTTTATGATAGAGTCATTTGGTCTTTTCTACAACGAACCCTTACTCATTTCAACTTTCCTAGGAGCTGGATTGATCTCATTATGAACTGTGTAACAAAGACTGAGCTGTCTATTTTATGGAATGGCTCCTCCTTAGAGCCAATTGTTCCCAAAAGACGTCTTCGACAAGGGGACCCTCTTTCCCCTTATTTGTTTGTTCTTTGCATGGAAAGGCTAAGTCACCTCTTTCCCTTATTTGTTTGTTCTTTGCATGGAAAGGCTAAGTCATATGATTAATGAACAAGTGTAGCTGAAGAACTGGAAGGGACTTAAAGCAGCAAGATGAGGTCCTGTGATATCACACCTTCTCTTTGCTGATGACATTATTCTATTTTCAAGAGCCCAGGACAAAGATTGTCATATGATAAGGAAAGTTCTTGATGAGTTTTTTAGGATATCTGGGCTTAAAATGAGCGTCTAAAGTCTGTGTTTCCTCAAATGTAAGAAGAGGAAGAGCATCTAAAGTTGGTAGGATCCTTGGGTTCCCTTTAATTGGGGATCTAGGTAAGTACCTAGGAATAACAGTTTTACTTGAAAAAATTCAGATAAGGTTTTCTGGATGGAAAGCTAACAACTTGACCATAGCAGGAAGGGCAACCCTGATTCAGGCTGTCACTGCTACTATCCCTAATTATGCTATGCAAACTCAATGGATTCCCCAGTCCATCTGTGATCAAATTGATAGACTGAATAGAAATTTTCTATGGGGGGACACAGAAGAGAGGAGGAAAATTTACTTGTTAAACTGGGACAAAGTGTGTTCACCCAAGGTTAAGGACGAACAGAGACAATAATGCAGCACTCCTAGGGAAACTAGGTTGGGAACTTAGAGCTAATAATAATAAATCCTTATTGGTTGAGATTATGAAAAGTAAATACATTGCTATGAACACTGAACATTGGAAAAAAAAAGAACTATGCATCTCCCATATGGAATGCTATTTTGAAAATTTGTAACCCGTTATAAGCAGGTGTAAAATGCATTGTGGGTGATGGACAAAACATTAACTTCTAGAAAGATTGGTGGGTTGGTGGAAAACCACTTCTCCAGCAACTGAATCCCCAAACGAATATTGATACAGAGGTTAAGGTGACTAACTTCATTGGCACTGATGGATCCTGGAATCTGCAATCCACAGGTATGATTCTTCCTCCTAATATTGTTCAAGAGATTTTATTCACTCCACTGCCACAATTCAGCCAACAACTTGATTCTATATCCTTGGATAAGGCAGCCAATGGTAAGTTTTCATCCAAAAACTGTTATAATCTCCTTACTGATGACACTTCTTTCACTGTCATTGATAAGAAATGGAAACAGATTTGGGAAATGGAAATTCCTCAGGAGTTAAAGTTTTTTCTTTGGCTTGTCCTCCATGATAGAATCCCCTCAAATAAACTTAGAGCCGACAGAGGTATGACAGATGATCTTATATGCAATAGGTGTAATAACTTTGTTGAGACAACCATTCACATTTTAAGAGATTGTAGCAAGGCCCAAAGAGTCTGGAGCTATTTCCTACATCACAGGAAAGACAGACTGATAGAAACCTGAGTCTTTCACAATGGTTTGAAAAATATTGCCTAACTACTAATGGGACCACTTGGAACAATATCATTTTGAAACAAAATTGCTCATGCAGTATCTTGCTTACTTGGGAGGCAGAGCTGAATCTGAGGGGAGGACTGCCGAGCAGCAAGTCCTGGAGGTAAGCCTTGCATTTCAGCCTGTCCAACAATCTTAGACGAGGGACTGATTCATTCTGAGGCCAAATTTTAGATTTTTCACCACATAATTTAGTTCTTTAATTGTGTACAATATGTGTTTTGGCCTTATTTTCATTTGTTTAGCAGTCAAATCTGGTTCTAGAAGCATTCAGTAATGCAAATAAAGTCAGAAACAACAACTCCTTGTGGGAACATTTTGCATTTACGGTGTAACTTCTGTATATGTAGCAAAGTTTCTCTAATACTGTTTGGTTGAATTGTTTCGTTCTATCTATTCATGTTATGTACGTTACAGTCATTTCGGTTAGCTTGTGGAGACTGGAGATTGAATTTGACCGGAGAGGAAGGAGTGCAAGAGCTGTTATCGAAACTTACCAGCCGGAAAGGTCTCATGTTTGTCAAGTGTCCGATCCTAAGAGGTACTATTATTGCTTCGGCATGCTTTGCTCTGCACCACCTGAGGTAACAAGTCTCTATTTAGTTGACCAAGATTTGTTTTATAGTAAAGAATAAATACTTGTTTGTAGCGCATTTCATTTTTTGTGGAGTTGTTTATTTATCTTAACATAGAATTTTCATCCTTGGATATCACATGATACAAGGCAAAGTGGTGCCCTAAAAAATATATGTAGCCAACCCCAGTGTTGAGCAGCAAATGCTTTTCGTTACTACTAATCTATATAATAAAATAGAGCTGTTTTTGAATCGAAAGACAAAAAACGGAGCAGATCGTTTCAAGATAAAATAAAGGGTTATTTGACGGGCTACGTTACCCCAACATAAAAGGTAGGTTAGATCATTTCAAAATTACTAATCTAATGAGCCAAAATGAGTCTAGAAATATTTTTTTCCGTTAAACTTTTCATTTGTCACCCTTAGTCAGGCCTTCAATCACTCCCCAAGGCTCCACTAAAATCTATTCCTTGTCTCCCCTTTTATCTCCTTTCTTAATCGAGCTTTCTTACACTCAATTTCTATCGCGCATGTCTCTCTCATATCGTCTCTCTCAAATCATCTCCCTCTCTTTCCTAAATATGCTCTCCAAACTATGACCTATGGTTGTGCCCTAAAATTCTCTTTCACTTTCTCACGTTCACTTTCTCTATGTGCCCACAATCATCTCCCCCTATTGTTATTTTCTCTCTACCTTCTTCACTATTGCATCACTGCCCAATCCCCAATAGTTAAGCCTTCAACAACAAGCAGTGACACATCTCCTCTCAATTTACCTCTAGTGATAACCGCTCCTTATCTCCTCTCTCTTTGTGCCGCTGCACATCCACTGCCAATGAAAGCGAGCAGCTACCTAGCCGCTGCCTATTTCGGGTGTCTTTCTCAATCATCTCCTCTTTCTCTCTCTTTTTCATGCATCTCCTCTCTGTTCATCTCTTTATCTATGCACTCATGCTCATCTCTCCATAGCTATATTTTCTCTCTACCTTCTTCCCTATTGAGTCTTTGCCCAATCCTCAGTAGTGACACATCTCTTCTCTCGGTTCATTGCCAGCGACAACCGCCCCTTATTCTTCTCTCTCTGCACCGCTGCATATCCACTGCTAATGACAACCAACAGCTGCCTATTTCAAGTAGCCTTCTCAATCATCTCCTCTCTCTCTCACGCATCTTCTCTCTGTCCATCTCTCCCTCTCTCTATGAGCTTATGATCATCTCCTCCTAATTCTATTTCCTCTCTACCTTCTTCCCTATTTTGCCATTGCCTAATGCCCATCTGTGACGCATCTGTTCTCACAGTTCACCGCCAATGACAACCACCTTTATCCCTGTCTCTCTCTGTGTCGTTGCACATTCATTGCCAACGACAGCCAGCCACAACCTATTTCAGGTACCCTTCTCAATCATCGCCCCATTCTCTCTCACGTATCTCCTTTCTCTTTGTCAGGCACCTTATCTCCCTCAATCATCTCTTTTTCTCATTCTCTCTCCACAATCATAACCTCACTCGACAGCCCCTTCCTGTTCTTCCTAGGTCCTGTGTACCATCTGTTTGATAAATTGTTAAACCGATATTTTTTTTTGTTTCAAAAAGTTCCTTTAGCCCTTTGCTTATGGACAGTGGGCTCATTTTTTTATGCTTTTTAATATCTTTTGCATGATAAATGAATCAAGTGGATATTTGTGTTGGTTGATCTTAAGATTGGTTTATCCGATTTAGTTATTTTTGGATTTAGAATTGACTCAGGTTCAAGTTGTGTTTGCAAAATCCGGTATTGTTAACTTCATTTATGGTCATCGAAACTAAGTTCTTCATATATGCTTTAAATTGATTTTATTGTTTTGTTTTTATTGTTGACTTCATCTATGCACCATGGATATCGTTGTTTCTTCAACATGGATATCCTTTTCTAACATACATGTATATGTGATTCTAGCCTCCATCGCAACAATGCTAACTGTTTCTGTGCAGCTTTGTGGTCCTTTGTCCTTCTTGTGTACCTTTTTCAGGTGCTACTGTGAACTCAATCTCTCTATATTATATTCTCTTTATTGGTTGTTTTGATATTTGTGAACTCGATCATTAATGTATTTGACGGACTGTTGGGCTTGATATAATACCTACCTTTAACGTGTAACTAAATCCATAGTGCTATTGTGACTGCTTTTATATAATGTTAACATAGTGCTACTGATTTTATATAATGTTAACATAGTGCTACTGCTTTAATATAATGTTACATACTGATTTTATAGTGCTAACATAGTGCTACTTCATCTATTTTATTGGATTCAACCTTCAATATGTAACTTAGTATGCTTTTATTGTGGATTGTTTCACAGTGACTTTTCATTTCTTCCCAACATTTTGGACCATGACCAGTTAAGATCACAATCTATGATATGGTGGCGGTGCATAACTAAAATGGGTTATGATATGGATACATTTTTTGAGTATTTAAATTAATTTGTTTATCAGTGTGTAGGTTGTACTAATTCTAGGGTTGGGTGGTGCTGCCATTGGTGATTTTCTACCACCTATAGCCATTTATTGGAGTAAAACATTGGAGTTGAGGATGAGCTATGGGAGGATTCTTTGAGTCTTCCTGTATTCACTCAAAGAAACATTGTTAGCTCTTGAAACGCTAAGGTACTGATGAAATTGCACAGGTATCTCTTGAACTGTTTTACTCCACATATACGAGTCTATTCCATTATGTGCATTTATCTATAGCCTGGATTCTAGGGTAAGAAAAGTAGGAAAAAAGGCACAATTCATTTTAATATGTCGAACTTTTGGATAGCTGTAAGTATTGCATTGAACTTACTGACATGTGATTTTTCTCAAGTTATTGAAAAAATTATATAGTTATACTAGAAATTTTCGCAAGAGAGATGTAGTTTTTAGAAAGTAGAGAATTCATGACTTTTGGAGCTTATTTGACCTCATGTGGGTTCTCTTTTTTTATTTATTTTTTTATAGAAGTGTATTGTTGTGATCTTGACCCAACAATTGAGAGGAGGCCTTCTGCCTTCGTGCTTCGGGACTGAGAGGGGACCACAGTGAGCGGCATTTTTTGTTGTGTATGTTTTTTGATTGAATTAAGTTTGGAATATTTGAGATACCTTAAAAACGTCAAAAACTATGTTTATAATACGTTGTTCTCCTATATTGCTCATCTTTGTTTGGCCATATTTGTTAGCTAGAATGTTTCACATTTTTTTTTGGATATGTTTGGTGAAATCAGTTGACTAATAATTGTTAATATTTTGTGGACTATCGATCTAGGTTATAATTAAGTTGAGACACTGTTTAATTTTAGAGGATTTTATTGTAAATTTAGTTTATTTCGTAGATTTTTTATATATTTTTGTTTATTAGTCAGTTTAACCGTGATTATTTTATGTTCAATTTCTAAAGAAAACGTCATAGATTCCTCTAAAATTAAGTTTCTTGCAGTAAAGTGATTACTCCATCAATCAAGTTCAATTTGTTAGTTTGGTTCCAAAGGTGTGGTAGGCTTACATGTGTGGAAGTGGGAATTGAAGTTTAATTTGATCATTGCGTTGGGATATCATTTCAATTTCACACAAATCTTATATTATTTTTCCATGCTGCTAGGATCTTCAAAAGTACAAAATTGGGAAATCCAAGAACGTTTCATTATTTGAATCAATTAAATTGTTACGAGTTAGATGGCATTGATGATTCTAAAGAGTACATTGCTACAAGGACGGCAATGGATGTCATTGGAATTAGTACCGAAGAACAGGTTTTTGTTTGGAGTTGGTTAATATAAGAAACATGATTCTTCCACTTTAAAATCTATCCTTTAATTCCTTGTTGATTTTCTTCCTTCCTTGATTGGGATGTGATTTTTGGAGTTGTGGTTGTAATTCTCCATCACGGAAATATTAAATTTGCGAAGGAAAAGACAATTGACTCGTCTGTATCCAAAACGAATTATATCCCTAACAATTAAAACAAGAATAGCACAGATCAGTATCCTAAGTGATAGGATAAGACAGTTCGAGGGATTATATCCCTAACAACTAAAGCCAGATATTTGCTTCTTTTCTTTTTCATTTTTTTGGTATAGGATATGATGTATACAAGTGGTTCATGTTTTTTCAAACTCGGAATATGAGAAGATGCAAGATAAATGTAGTTTTCATGAATCCCACTATAATTTCTCAATGAACCGTTGTGTGATAAAAATAACATTCGTTATTCATTCATAGTAGTCATTGCCAGAATAAAAATAAATTGCGGGTCTAAAGGTTGACTTGTTTTTTTTCATTTCTCTCAACGTTCTAAGTTAATTCTCTTTGGAAATACTTTACAATTTGATACTTGAATGGTGCAAGTTGCCAATTATGATATAGAGTGTCTTTCCACGATATATAATTTGTCATGAAAAAATTCATGCCTTCCTTGGAAGATGGTCCATCTTTCATTTTCGTCACGAAAGGTTGCAGCAACTACACATTCTTCTGTAGCATCATCGGTAGAAGAAGAAGAAAATAGTTCAATCCTGGTGACGAGTTCTGACTATTGCTTCTC